TTTTGTCTACCTATGTCATTGGATGCCTTTTTGATAGACAATAACCCATTTTCTTTCCTCCTTTCTTAGAGTCATAGAGTCGTACAGTCGTACAGCACGGAAACAGGCCCTTTGGTCCAACCAGTTCATGCCAAACGTAATCCCAGATTAAATTAGTCCCACCTGCCTGCTCCTGGCCCATATCCCTTCAAACCTTTCCTATCCATGTACTAATCCAAATATCTTTTAAACGATGTAATTGTCCCCACATCCACCACTTCCTCAGGAAATTCATTCAACACGTGAGCCACCCTCTGTGTAAAAAAATTTGCCGCTCAAATCTTTTTAAATCTCTCTCCTCTCATCTTAAAAAATGTACCCCCTATTCCTGAAATTGCCCATGCTAGGGAAATAACAACTAACATTAACTCCATCTATACCTCTCATTATTTTATAAACTTCTATAACGTTGCCTCGCAACCTATGCTCCAGTGAAAAAAGTCCCAGCTTACCCAGCCTTTCTTTATAATTCAAAGCTTCCATACCCGACAACATCCTGGTAAATCTCTTCTGAACCATCTCCAGCTTAATGATATCCTTCCTACAAGTGGGAGACCAGAACTGGACATAGTATTCCAGAAGAGGCCTCACCAATGTCCTGTACAACCTCAACATGACTTCCCAACTCCTACACGCGGAGGACTGAGAAATGAAGGCAAGCATGCCAAACACCTTTTCAACCAATCTGTCTATGCGTGATGCAAACTTTAAAGAATTATGAACCTGAACCCCTCGGCCCCTTCTGCTCTACAACACTACCCAAGGCCCTAACATTAATTGTATAAGATCTATCCTTGTTTGTTGTACCAAAATGCAATACCTCACATTTATCCAGATTGAAATCCATCTCAACAAGGGGCAGAGCTGGATGAACACAGCAGGCCAAGCAGCATCATAGGAGCAGAAAAGCTGATGTTTCGGGCCTAGACCCTTAGGCCTGAAATGTCAGCCTTTCTGATCCTATGATGCTGCTTGGCCTGCTGTGTTAATCCAGCTCTGCACCTTGTTGTCTCGGATACTCCAGCATCTGCACTTCCTACTATCTTTGAAATCCATCTGCCGTTTTTCAACCCACTGACCCATTTGATCAAAATCCCTTTGTAACCTTAGATAATATTCTTCACTGTCTACTACACCACTAATTTTGGTGTCGTCCACATATTTACTAACCATGCCTTCTATATTCTCTTCCAAATCATTTATATAAATGACAAACAAAAGAGGTCCCAGATCCAGTCCCTGTGGAACACCACTGGTGACAGGCCTCCAGTCTGAAAAGCAACTTTCCACCACCGATCTCTCTCCTACCATTATGCCAATTATGCATCCAATTGGCAAACTCACCCTGAATCCCATGTGACCTAAGTTTACTAATTGGTCTACCATGTGGAACCTTGTCAATCTGCTCTCTTTTATCTAAAGCACAATTCTATTCATCTCAATGTTTTCTTAAAGCTTCATTCAAAAGCATGTAAACACGTTTCAAATACCCTAGTGACACAAAGTACACAAAAATGGAGTTAAGGTTTTCTCTTAACCCACAAAATAGAAATATAAATGAAACTTAGAGCTTATGCATTGTCCACTCCCAAGTTTCCAATTAATACTTGTATATCATGAACATGCGTATGCTCATTTTTTTAAGCTTAGGATAATTATTGTTAGGGAAATGGGTGCTGAAGTTAGTTAATATACTAAATTAGCTTCCTTATTTAAACAGGGTTGAATTCTGAGAGTTACAAGGAAACAAAATATTTTCTAGTGAATACAGACACTTGGCACAAATTTGTCTTCCTTATTCAGAGACAGGATGTAATTGTTTGAAGACTAAATCACTGTTATTCAACAAGTTTGATGGAAAAAAAAACATGAAAATGACTCCAACTGAAGAACTGGTGACTATTAATTTTGACATTGATCTATCAGACAGCCCCACCATATGAATCATTTCTACTTCCATTTCCTGAGCTTTTTTTAGAAGATCTATTCTTAAAGTAGCAATTACTACCACAATGATAATATCAGGGTTGAAACTTTATATTAGATTCAGTCTTTGGGTATGTAAAGTCTAGCAGGATCATTTTGCAAATGTGTTTTATTACTGTTATAAAACAATCTGCAATGCAAGAAATAAAGAGTTAAAATGTGAAGATATTTATAGTATGACAAAGGAAGAGAGACATAAATTGCCAGTATCAACAAAGTTTTGAGGAAATAAATCTCAAAAGCCCTCAAGGTAACATATGAACATGTCCATTTTAACCGAGGATATTTTAATATTCTGAGCTTTATATTGACCTCATCTATATTAGAGGATTGATTAAATAGGAACAGTAGCCTGCTATTTTTCTCTATTTCAATAGATTTCAGTGTTTCTCCATTGCCAAGCAGCCTTCTAGACATAAGCACAGAAGGTCATATGAATTAGGAGCAGGGAGTGGCAATTCAGCCCAATCATCCTGCTCCACCATTTGATACAATCTTGCCTCAGCCTCAACTCCACTTTCCTGCCTGTTCCCCCATAACTCTGTGACCCCTTATCCTAAAATGATGGCCTCTTGTTATAGATTTCCCCAAATGAGGATACATCATCTCAACGTCTACTTTGTCAATCCCCTTTAGCATCTTATATGCTTTACTCCTATTCTTTGAAACTTCACATTCCAAAATAGTCAGAATACTCAAGTATGGTTCCATTTCATCACCGTAGTAGATGAAATATCTTCCAATGTGGATGCAAAGGCACATTTACACAAACTTTTAAAAATAGCAGCTTTGAATCTAAAAAAAACTGTTCCACTGAGAAGTAATGTACTTTCTCACAGCTGGTTTATGAAATGGAAATCTCATGCAGAAAATATTCTAAGACTGTAGGAATTAAACAAATGGTTGAGGAAAAATGAAGAGAATGTTTTATAAAGTGAAGATTGACCCCTCCCCCGAGACTAAAATCAAAAAAAACAAACAGGAGCACCAAAAAGGAGTGTCTCCTTTTTCGGTCTTTCAAAAATTTCTTACAAAATTTGGGAGGCATTTTTGACCCCCAGAACCTCTTTAGCAATACTAAGAGCCATTTCCCCACTTTTTATTTAACCAACAACAAGCAACCAAAATTAAACAAATTTTCCACTTCTCACTTAAGATTTTTTTTAAAAAATAGCTAGGACACTAGTCCCCAAGTCTGGTTAAATCTACTGGAAACTTTCATACCCTAAATCTGTTCAAATCTGTCCAAATCCCATCAGATCCGTTTCAATCCTGAATGAGCCCCCAGTCAGTTATAAAGTGGAGTTTGACCTCCCCCGGAGAACTAAAACTGAACCACCCAAAGAGGAACACCTCGCCCTATAATCTGTAAAAGGAGTGTGAAAATGGTGTCACCTGCCTTTCAGCAACTTCTCGTGGTTAAACAAAATAAACACCTGATACTCACTTTAAAATCAACAAGTAGCAATTTATTTATCTAAGTCTAACAGTGAACAAATTAACTAAACTATTGCCAAACCAAATAAACGTCTTATAACTGCTAACTATTCCTGAATAAAGCAAGATTCTGATGTTATGCTGTTCTAATAAATACAAGTCCCAGTTACATATAATTTAAAAAAACACATAGACTTTAGTCTTTTGAAATTACAGCCATGTTGTGCATCTTCCAGAATGTTTTGTGCCTTCTCTGTCGAATGTTCTGTCAGGAACGTCTTCTCCATCAAATGTTCTGTCAGGAACGCCTTCTCGGTCGATTCTTCTGTCAGGAATATTAACAAATTGTGCCTTAGCTATCTTTGATTTCGATGGTGCTTTCTCTAAAACTTAGAGAAAACCGTGAGAGCGAGCGATTCTCTGTAGCGAGTTGAGAGCTATTAACTGTAGCAGATGGCAGTTCGTTCTGATTTTCCAACTCCCCTCTCCTTTTATACCCTTGATGATATGTCCGTTTCTTACAATAGGATTGGCCCTATGTTGTCGAAACCATCAGATTTAAATTTAATTTGTTTTTGGTATCTAAATGCCTGATTAAAATTGATTGGTTAAAATCAAAGCTTGTTGTCTTGATAACAAAATAAAACTGCTGCTTGGCATGCTAACTGTGCAGCCTTTTAATTTAAATTTTTCAATTTGGGTGCTCCCTGTGCACCTGCAAAACCTCAAGATGCTACTCACAGACATCCTTTTTGAAACCCTGAGCATAGAAAAAGCACATCATCTTTTAAAGGGACCATATACTGCTATCCCCCCTAGCATTTTACATACACCAAATTCTAACTTCCTGCCTTCCAATGCACAAGTACCCTACCCAAATTTGCAACAGATGTTACTCATTATTCAACTGTGCACTAACTTAGCAAGTTAATGAATGGCAGTGACTTCCTAGTATAGCGCATAAGCTTTTCAGACCAGAAGATTGTGCAGATAATAATTGGGAAACTACAATTAACGTTGCTGTCTCTGGGCTAGTAAGAGAGTGGAGATCAACTGTCACATGCTAAAAGATTGAGCAAAGTTATGGCACCTACCGTAATAAATACCCTATGATATTTGCTCTCGGAGCACACAATGGCAAATCATGATGTGGATAAGGCAGCAGAAAGCTGCCACTTCCCATAGATTATTATAGACTTGATCTGTAACTTTCAGAAAGAAGCGTAAATTAGAACATTTCAAAATTGGCAAAATCATTAAACAAGCCAAGAATATATGTAAGATTGGACCAGATTTAAGAAAAGCCAGTTTTAACTCTGTTCTCTTGCCTTCAAGCACATACTTGTTGTTAATTATAAACGGGAACATTTTGAAGGTCCTTGCATTGATATGTTCTTATGGCTTCCACTAAATATTAATAAGTTATAGAAAAAAAAAGGTGTATCAGTACCTTTTGCATTTTTCATTGGAATGCATGTTTTAAAATTCAGAATGACTGAAAATGAGGCATTTACCATCTTCGTTTTGTTATTCAACAGGTCCTCAGGGAAAAGAAAGCACCCAACATAACGAAAACTCAGCACTGTGCTATGATTTTGTTTTTACACTTGTGATGTTAACAATTTCATATTCTGTATAAAGTTATAGAACAGTATATGTTACAATGAATGTACGCTCAAAATGATTTTGTTTAGTTTTCCTGATGAGAGAGTTTTCTTGGAAAATCTTGGCTGGATACTCTGATCAGTGAGAATAGATCCACTGATCAAGAAAGAAATCTCAAGTCCTCAATAGTACAGAAGAAAAAGCAAACTAAAAGAATGTTGCCATTCAAACTTGTTGCCATTTCAATTTTATCTCTGTGAATTTGGTTAGACAGTATTCTTCCAATATTTTTCTCTCCTCCCAACAACAAGTGAGCTCAGATGTAGCAATCTGTGTTTAAGAATGGTATTCGTTGCATTTACATTTGTCCACACATTTTTACATGGATCTAATAGTGAATAGAAATCTGTTTCAGCACTGGATCCTCCATTGGGAATCTTCCTAATTTCCATATTTAACTGTTTGTGTCATCACCAGTAGTTGCTGTCTCACTTAATCCTTAACAATATTGAACATTATTAACTCAACATTATCTTTATTATAAAATCCAGACCTCTAACATTTGCTGGGACAGTTAGTGAGGTAACAGCAAACCCCATCACGTGGGGCTTAGAGGTACAGAAGACATAAAAACATGAAAATGTGGAAAGTAAACCCACAACCAAACCAAAGAAATTTACATACCAGGTTTTGTAATTTCTCTTGTACAATTCCCTCTGTGAGTTACATTATAATTCACCGTTCTAAAGTTAACGAGTCTCTGAGGAGTATTCAGTACAAGCCTGAATGACATAAAGGAAGGAATCAAAAATGATAAATTATATATTGTAAGTTTTCTTAAAAATTAAAGAACAGGGAAGCGAGTGTAATTATCAGGTGAATTCAGACTGATAAAATTCATTGTAGCATAATATATGAGTATATTTAACCCAGATAGCGGATCATGGAATTTATGAAAAGAATTTGGGGATTATTTATTTTCCTTTACTTTTTCTTCAATAAGTGGATTCATACTCAACTATCTAAAAATGTTTAAAAGATCTTTTTGTGCCTTGTTTTATCCATCATTAGGATAGAAACAATTCATTTGGGGAGCAATGATAGTGATTGCTTAATATTAAATGTATCCTTTTTAGTTTTATATTTGGAAAGACTGTTAAATTCACCAGACATCAAGCAAACTACAAAAAAAAACTAATGTGCACATATGTAGACATCTATTAAATCTTTTTGACCCAATGATCCTAAGTTTTTCTCACAGATCCAACATATTGCACCAATGGCTGCAAAGCCAGGAATAATATAGAAAGTTTTGTAGAACCCCAGAGCCCCTGACCTTGACTGAACAAATCCGAACAAGAGATGGCCATCACCACTCTGTGAATACTTTGTGATGAACTTTGCAACACTGTAGTGGGGCTAAGTATAGAATTCAAATGGTTAATAATGAAACTCTGGATGAAATCTTCCTGTCTCAACTCCAGACAACAGTGGAAAGAGTCAGTCCCTGACCGGTAAACCAGTGTGCACAGACTGTCAGTTGGGAGGGGTGGTTCCCTTGCTCTGCACAGCTTTGTTCCTGGCCGAATGACTAAACATAGGGCGGGAAGGGGCAGTGATTATAGCCACTGACAACCATTCTCCTACCTTTCCCTCCAAACCCCCTAACTACTTCTCCCTATGACCCCTAAGCCCAAACCCGCTCCGTTCCTACAGAAAGCACCTAGTTGAGACTTTGGTCATCTGGATATTGAGTGTCTTGCTGGCAGCATGTCCTCATAGCCTTTGCAGTGGCACTATTGAGGGCAAAACACAGCAGCCTCTGATTGATGGGCAACTATCACAGGGTGGGACTTCCAGTTTCAGGAATTTGATTTTGAATGAGCACTCACTATTGTCCTCCAAGCTGCCTGATTGGAGGAAGATACTGCAGGCCTTGTGGCTCAAAGTCAGGTTGGGTGTGTCACCATTTCTTCAGCAAGCAAGCAAGGCACCCAATGACAGTGGAGATTCCATATTTATCTTTAATGAGTTGAAAATTCTGGAAATATACATGCTTCTGAGTCTGGTTAAAATATCTTTAGTTGTTTGGCCAAAGAGAACTTGAATATTGCTGGAAAACACATTTTGTTGAAACTTCATCTTGCACTCATCAGGATTATTCTAAATACCAAAGTAAAATGGTTGGTCAAAGCATTGCCCTGAGAAGTGAATCCATGAATTACTGTCATCTATTCTGCCAACTGAAATAGGCACACTGTATGTACATGTTCTTTCTGTCTGTTTACTGATGTATGTAGCTTCCAGTACTCACAAGTCAGACACACTGCGAGCCGGAATGACAATCCTAAACTGGCTTTTGGTGCAATTCATCACACACTGTGGGGAAGCAATGGTCTAGTGGTATTATCACTGGACTGTTAATCTAGAGACCCAGATAATGTTCTGAGGACCCAGTTTTGAATCCTGCAATGGCAGATGGTGGAATGTGAATTCAATAAATATCTGGAATTAGCAATCTAATGATGACTGTGAATTCATTGTCGATTGTCGGAAAAACCCATCTGGTTCACTCATGCCCTTTAGGGAAGGAAACTGCCATCCTTACCTGGTCTGGCCTACCTGTGATTCCAGACTCACAGCAATGTGGTTGACTCTCAACTGCCCTCTGGGCAATTAAGGATAGACAATAAATGCTGCCTAGTCAGCAACACCCTCATCCTATGAATGAATAAAGGAAAAAAAAACACTCAGGATTATTCAGCAAATATTGTCCAATCACAGAATTACATCTAATGTTAGACAACGTTGTGAGTTTTGCAAGCGTAGGCTGATTGGGCAAAGTCAGTATCTTGCATGTTGTGAACAGTCAAAGGATTATGTTTTTTGATACCATCCACCAGTCCTTAGATTTACAGCTGACATACCTGGCCTCATGCAGGCACTGCATGATAGTCATTTGTATGATAGGCAGTATGTCTTTTTGGCTTGTCAGTAGCATTCCGTTAATGAATATATTGAAGCTACATATAGAAATATACAAGGATCTCTTCTTGCAGATAGAAAGACCATGTACGCCCACTGTACGTTCAATTCAACAGCTTAGGTGACAGCCTTTTTCTGGTTCATTTCTTGGGGCAATTTTTGCCCAATTAGAATTAATCTGCATGGTTTAACATTTAAACAGAACTTGGCAGTTAACTGTCATTCACCATTAACTGGCACATTCTCCATGACAATACCTCAACTGATAAGAATCCACTTGCTAATCAATCGACACGTTCCTCTTTCACAGTATAATTGCTATTTTTCTTTTACTTCTAAATTCCTTCTTCACTGTCCTGATGAAAAGCTTCAACAAAGTGTGTCCCTTTTCAGCAATAATGCATACTACTATTTCATAAAATTTAACAAGGTTCCTCTTTACCATTATGTTTTCAAACTATTAAATGTAATCGTCTGAGATTTATTCATGTTGATATTCTGTTCACTACTATTCCTGTCACTCTGCCAATGCATATTTGTTATTTATTGTGAGGTGATATAATCTGAACCCAATACTCCAACAAATAATGCATCGTAAAGCTGAGACTCTTGAGTTCTAATGATCTGACTACAATAAATACAATAATTTTAAAAATTGCTTCCTCACTTTACGATTGAAAATGGCACAAAAAGTGAACAATAAGTATAACGCTAGTACTTATAGTCAGATCAGTAGAAGACAATGTTCCAGAAATTCCAAACAACTTCTCTTTACATTCTCCCAATCAGTCCTGTCAACAGTTGGAAGTTCAATTAGTAGTGAATGGAAGTCAAGAAATCTATCATTGCCCATAATTAATTTGAGGAATTGGGATATGGACCACAAGTAGCCTCACACTGTTTAGTCAGTCCCATTGCTCAAGAAATTTTGAAGGTATTATCATCTGATTAACTGCTATAGTACTGACAAACCAAGTCAAGTAACACGCAGAGAGAACATTAACTTCTCAGGATTCATTGGTCAGTTCCATGTCCAACATGGTAGGCAATGTGGAGAAAGAAGGCATGTGAAGGAAGGTATCCAATTTTAATAGAAATGTATGAATACCAGAATGTAATCTAATTACCAAGAATTGTGCTCTTTTATGGATTTATTGTAAAATATTGTGCTGCTACGGTTTTTAATGACTGTGACAGAAAACAATATGTTGTACTTAGCATTGTTACTCCATTCAACTTTCTTTTATTGTTATTTAAAAAGAGTATAAAACATCTTTTGATATGGATGGAATTTCTTAAGTGAATCAGGTAGCAAACACTAGAATGTCTGAATGAAGAACATTGATCCTAGTGATCTGTGGAACAAATACACTAATTTGTATAATCATTGGGGAGGATTATTATTGGAAATGGGAAGGCAATGGATTAGTGGTATTACCACTGGACTGTTAAGCCAGAGACGTCTAATGCTCTGGGGACCTGGGTTCAAATCTTGCCAAGGCAGATAGTGGAATTTGAAATTAATAAGAATCTGGAATAAACAGTCTACTGATGACCATGAATTGATTGTTGGAAAAACCCATCTGGTTCACTAATGTCCTTTGGGGAAGGAGACTGCCATCCTTATCTGGTCTGGCCTACATGTGACTCCAGACCCACAGCAATATAGTTGACTCTTAACTGTCCTCTGGGCAATTAAGGATGGCCAATAAATGCTGGTCTAGCCAGCAATGCCCTCATTCTATGAAAAAATTAAAAGAAAAATAAAAGTTGCTTGGCAGAGCATTGGCTTGTTCTCTGACTTTCCTGTTGATGTTTCAGAAAGCAAGGAGGTGAAGGATATAAACAGAGCTATCTTGTAAACTCGTGTATTTATTGATACATGAGATAAACATACATCTCCTCACATAACTGTTCCTTTTCATAAATTATTTTTTAACAACCTACTTGGATATGTTAGACACACCTCTAGGAGACATAAGACTTGAGCCCAAACATAGGCATGCCACTACTGCACTATAAGATCCCTTTTATTTGATAGAGATATAA